ATACAGACAGAAGGATAGAGAACAAACCAAGATGAAATGCAAGCCGTGATAACACGTACGCCACCAGTTCGCAATTGGGTTGAATTCCTAAAGCAGCGAGGGATAGTGAAAGTGAACTATTAACGACCTCTCTCCTTACACATGCGCAAATAAGTGACAGAAGTAAATTTTCATTAGAAATCCAACAACCTGTATTAAAGTTGCAACAACTCTTTGACCAGAAAATATGCAAGCGATTGTCTGATAATGTCATGTCAACATTGTCCAAAGTAGTGAATGAAAGAGGGCCTTAGCAAGCATCCAAACTGCATCTACATTTACAGCGACTACCTTCCCTTTCTTTTTTTTTTGGGTGGGTGGCGCCACTGCTCACCAAGGATTTTTGGGTGAAATGCGGTCATTGTCTTTACTTCAACTCATCGCGAAAACGCGAATCGATTTAATTCTCCTCAAGCGCCAGAAATAAAGTTCATCTCAAAGACACGAACCAAACATATGCTACCAAACTTTCGCACAACCAGAAGAACGGCTCTCTCCTGATCGAGAGATCGAGTCCGTAAAAAAAAAGTGAGCGTCAGCGAACGAGGACTTGAACCAAGTCTGTAAATTCTCCCTGTTGTAAAATACTAAAACTGCGACCAAACCGTAGGAATGACCACATCCGCTGCATTCCTTTCTCTACCGAAACGAAAGGGCGGATTCTGCAGGCCAACCACTGACAACCAGGTCATGCAACAACACAATCACTTAACAGAGAGTCTAAGACAAAGTACGTACATGTCATTCTTGTGTGGCGCCGTGCCGACGACCTTGATGTACGTTCCCAAAGGACAGAAGGCCCAGAAACTGCTGTTTTTTTTTTGTATTTTTTTTTTTTGAAAACCATGCTGCCATGCTAGGCCTGCATTTTCAAAAGGCGCATTCCATGATGTCTTATCAGCAATGTAAATTCTTCCAACACACTGCCTGGAAGCTTCTAATTCACAACAACAGCTGACAAGTCGAACCAGCAGGGCAGGCCACAAGTCTGCAAAGATTTCAATTCTACGTACTTCGATGAAACTCACGATTCTAGAGTTTTTCAAACATGAATCCAAGTGCCGATCACCTATTCGATCACTCATTTGTAACACGCTACTTGTGCTAATCGATCTTTTTTGCAGCCAAATCGGTCCGGACTCCGGAGTACTCCACGCAACCAGAGGAACCTGCCAGCCGATCACTGTGGCAATGGTTACTTGAGGTCTCGCACTACGCGCAACAACTGTTGTTAGTGCGGAACGAGATACAAGCACATATGTCTTGTAGTGTGCATGTGTGTGTGTGTGTGTGTGTGTGTGTGTGTGTGTGTGTGTGTGTGTGTGTGTGTGTGTGTGTGTGTGTGTGTG